GGCGCGGGCCCCGCGGACCCGCGGCACGTGGCGATGCTGCTGCGGGCGCTTGCGCAATGGCGGCTGTCGCACTCTCGCAAGGGGTAGGTCGTGCCCCGCCCGCCGTGGGCGCGGCAGTATGGTAGTCCGCCTTGCTGTTCGCCTTGCAACCTGCCTGGGCTGCCCAACGCAATCACCGAAACAACGGCGCCCAGCCACCCACACGCAGCCATGCACGGCTCACCGCCGCCCGGTCGAACGCCGCGCGCAGCCCCGATGTCGCGCCTCTGGTGGCGCTGCTGCGTCCGGCGCTGCCCCGCTGCAGCGCGCGCGAGCTTGCCGTCATCCTGCCCTCCCTGGTGACGCTGGCCAGCTACCCAGACGACAGGTGGATGGGCGACTTTGAGGGCGCAGCCGTTTCCCGGTTCTCAGCGGCAAACGCTGAGGCGGACAGGCAGCGGCAACAGGACCCACAACACGAACAGCAGCAGCAGATGCAACAGCAGGAGCAGCACCCACAGCAGCAACAGCAGCAGCCTTTCAGCTCCACAGCGATGGGACGCAACGCCGCCGCGCTGCTCGCTGCGTTTGGGCGTGCGCGCCGGCTGCCTTCCCGCTCGCTGCTGGAGGCATTGGCAGCCACGCTAGCAGCGGCAGCGCCAGCCATGGCGCCCGCGGATCTCGCCGCTGCGGCGCAGGGCTGGGCAGGCATGCATCGGGCGCTGGCCAGGCCGGCGGGCAGGGTTACGGGACAGAAAGCGGCTGGGCGTGGGGCCCACGAGCTTGCGGGCCTGCAGGAGTGGGATGCCATGTGGGCAGCCTGGGGCTGCGCAGCAGCCGCTGCGCTGCCGCGATTCACGGCGCGCGACGCCGCGGCCGTCGGCGCCGCGCTGGGGGCGCTGCGAGGCGCCGCGCCGCCGCAAGTGGAGACTGCGTGGTGGGGCGCGGCGTGGCGCGGCCTGCCGGCTGCTGCGCTTGACCGCTGCGGGCGCACTGAGCTGGTTGCCCTGCTGCGGCGGGTGGCGGCCTTGGATCAGGTGCGCTTGCTGCTGGTCTGGCTGCAGCTGGTGCGTGCTATGCGGCACATGTTGTGTCTCTCTCACCTCTCGACTCTCATAGCCATTTGGGCATCCTCTGCACACCCCTATCACACACGGCCCGATTATCGCCGGAGAGGCGATTCGGTGGGGGAACATCACCACTTTTTGCTTGCATGGGCATACCCTCCAGCACGAGACCCACCTGGGCCTCGGCCCGTGACGCCACGTCCGCCGAACCCACCTCGGCCTCTCATCGCAGGCCCCGCCGCAGCCGTGGCTGGAGCGGCTGCTGGCCCGCGGCTGCCGGCTGGCTGCGGATGGACGCCTCCGGCTCCCCCGGCACACCCGCCCCCTGGCGCTAGCCCGGCGTGCGCTGGCCGCCAGGGGCCACCTCGGCGAGCGTGGCAGGCAGCTCTTTGACCTGGCACTGGGAGAGGCCGCAGCGGCTGGCGCAATGCTGCAGTAACATGACGTGCGCCTTAGCAAGGGAAGGGCGTGTCTGCACTCTTTGGGGGACGCCATTGCGCCCTTGATGCACGGCCTTGAGGGCACCGCCAGAGCTCTCAACTGCCAATCATCATATGTAGGCTATCATTTGGCATCGTGCCAGTTGATCCCATTAGCCGGCCCGTGATGAGTAATACAACTTCACAGATTGTTGTTGTAGATGGTTGTAATAGGCTATCGCTTGCTGGCAATATGAGGAGGAGTTCACCCCTGCCCGCTGAAGCGCGGTCACCCAACGTGCAAAGTGGCGTGCCCTCTGTCCCTGCAGAAGCGACCAGGGTAGTGCTGTACTGCTGCCTGCCCCATTAGCTGGATAGGCGCCGCCCGCTACACCCGCCACCGCCTGGTCGGTGGTGCACGACCGTGCTGCCCGGGACTGCAGCCGTGCTACCATGCTGTTCAGTTAGCAGTGGGCACCAGCCAGGCACATATTTTCAGCAGCGCTCAGGCCTGGTTGGCGAGCTCAGGTGGGGCTGACACCTCACAGTCTCATGCCCCGGTCAACTCCCTGGCTGGGACCACATCCTCGATCGTCCGCTGCACAAGACGTCATTGCGCTCGTATCGGCAACATTGTGGCTACATCCGCTGCCACGCTGCCTGTGGCACCCGTCACCGACACTGTGACACGGGGTCGTGGCTGGTGGCGTGGATGCACTGAGTAAAGCTGCAGTACACTTGGTCAAAGCAGCTTCATGATACGTGGCTGTCTGCCAACCTCCTTCCCTGAGCACAGCGTTTTGTCCTATGGTCACGGGTCTGCTTGGCGGCACTGTGCCATCTCCTCCCTCTGCTGCATTCTGCCACGATGCTGCTGAGCGGCAGTTGTTCTGCGCCGCGCACCCTGTGTGCACCCCTGCGCAAGTGCAGGGCCCGCAGCAAAAGCCGCTCACTTAGGTTATATGTAACGTTGTGTTTTTTTGCCCTCCAAAGCGCCTGCTCTACATCGTGACCTGGCAACGCGTTGCCATCAAAATCGGCTTCTCCAGCCTGGTAATAGGTGGAATTTAATTGCCCCCTTCTTATGGGCTCTAGGCCGTGATCCCCAGGCCTCCAGCCAGCCTCTCGGCCCCTGGTGAGCTGGCTACTGACGCTCTTGTACTTGAGAGTAGAACACGGAGTTTTTGCTGTATGATTTTTATGATCGAGCCAGGGATGCGCATAGGAAGCAGCATGCCGGTTGCCATAGGAAGCATGCCGGTTTTGGCCAGCTTTCTGGGGGCCCCGAGCGCAGGATTTTACTTTTAGTCGTCGGCAGACTGCAACCATACAGTCCCGAGGAGCCACACCGGCACCAGCAGGCGCGGCGCCGCCGCTGTGCTCACCTGAGCACGCTGCTGCCTCGTGCAGTGGTGCGCACAGGCGCACGCACCCGTCCACTATCTGAACCCGACGCACCAACCATTAAACACGTCATTTTTGAAGGAACTGGTGGATTCACTGGACCTGGGCGCAGCACGCGGGCGGGCCAGCGGGCGCGGGCGGGCGTGATGAGCACGCGCGAGATATTCCGGGAGTTTGAGTTTCTGCTCGACAGGAGCCAAAAGAGCTTTAACAAGCTGCGGGACCTGCCCCCGTATGGCAATAGTCGCTGGGAGCACCACTTCCACAAGGCGTTCCACATATACTCCAAGCTGTGGAAATTTCAGCAGGACAACAGGTGGGGTGGGGGCTGCAGGGTTGTTGCTTCGAGAGGACAGGGCCGAGCGAGGGCAGGAAGTAGCGGTCTTGCGTGGGCCGGCGGCGATCGACCAGCGAATAGGACCCTGCAGCTGGCAGTGGGCAGCTGGCGGCGGACAACAGCAGGGGCAGAGGTGGACGCCGTGTTCGCTCACATTACAAGGCATCAGGGAGCAACTACCCGCATTCGCATGGCAATTTTCGATGCGGCGGTTGCTAGGACTAGCCTGCTGGACACATGCGTAGGATTTGCCGCAGCAGCAGCGGCAGTATCAGAAGCAGCAGCAGCAGCAGCAGCAGCAGCAGCAGCAGAAGAGGTGGTAGCAGCGGCGGCTATGGCACCAGCGCCAGTGGCAGCAGCTCTGTATGCTTATGGGCACGCAGTTGATTCCCGGACATTGCTTATTATCGCACATGCATCTGCATGGCGGCGTCAAACGCCATCCTCCACTGTTGTGTTGCCGCATGGGCGCACCCATTTACAACTCCCACCTACATTCAAACCCACACACACACACACACACTACAAACACACACACACCACATACGCACGTTCAAGCTCATAGCATGTGCGCTCGCGCCCCCAAATGACGCTGCCAGGGAGGTCCTGACAAGCCGCGGCATGGAGCGCTGGGAGATCGGCGACATCGCGTCCAAGATAGGGCAGCTCTACTACAACTACTACCTGCGCACCAGCGAGATACGCTTCCTCCACGAGTCGTACGTCTTCTACGAGGCCATCCGCTCCCGCTCCTATTTTGCACAGGCAAGCAGGGCAGGGTGTGGGGCGACACTCTCAGCAGGCGGGCACCTGAGTTGCCCCCCGCGCACGCACGCACAGTGTTGCGCGCGACTCGTCCACCCCCCTCCCGCCGCCTGCCCCCTACCCCATCCTCTCAGCTTACACACACCCCTTTCTCACCCCTTCCTCAACGCAACCCATTGTACCCCCCCAGTCCGCCACGGACCCCAACCTGGCTATCAAGCAGCTGCGGTACTTTGCGCGCTTCATCATCATCTGCCTGCTGCTCAGCAGGCGCGAGGAGGTGTGGCAGCTGCTGCAGGAGTTCCAGGCCCTCATATCATCCTACATACTCAAGTACTCGCCACCGGACGCAAACGAGTGGCGCAGCGTGATCCAGGAGGTCACGACCTTCCTCAACGCTGACGTGGCCATGCCCATGCCGCGCTCGCCCGGCGCGGCGCTGCCCTTCCGCGTGAGCCTGCGCTGCGGCCTCAGCGCGCCCGAGGTGAAGCTGGCGCCACACCGGCCGATGCTGCTGCACGCAGTGCTGGCCAGCTACTACCCGCGGCAGGTGCGGCCCTGGGGAGGGCTGCGGGGGTCATGGAGGGAGTGTTGGAAGCTTAAGTGTTGCGTTGCGCGGGAGGATAGCAGTGTCGCTGGTGGGACCAGTGGGGGTTGCGAGCCAGGGGTGGTACAGCAAGGCCAGCAGCAGTGGGAGGCGGCCCGGTGCATGGCGCCATTACGCGCGACGAGTGGCGTTTTTGCAGCGCGCTGCGTTGTCCACGCCGGCGTGGGCGGCAGCCACCCAGCACTCTCTTGAGCTGCGCCGCTCACCCGCCAGCGCCCGTGCGCCCTTTCGTCCATGGCCCGACCCACCGGGCGCGCCAGGTCAAGATTGCGGAGCTGCCGCTTGACAGCTTCCGCATGCTGCAGGCGCTGGAGTGGGAGGATGCCTACAGCGGCGCGACCCCGCCCGCGGGGGAGCACCCCATGCCGCTCACTGCGCCGCCGCCGGCGGACGGCGGCGGCGCCGGCGCCAAGGACCGGAAGGCGGCGGCCTCCGGCGGCGGCCGGGAAAAGGGCGGCAGCAAGGGCGGCAGCGCCGTGGACAAGGCCGTGACGGCGGCGATGGCGGCTGAGAACGGCGGAGGCGGGACGGCGGGCGGCGGCAGCACGGCCTCCGGCAGCGTCGCCGGCAGCGGGAGCGGCGGCGCGAGCGGCGGGGCGCCCTCCATCTACGAGAACCCCTCCAAGCACCTGGTGTACCGCCCCACCGTGCTGCAGCTGCTGTCCATCCTGACCACCACCATGGAGGTGCTGCCGCGCGACGGCGTGCTGCTGCTGTACCTCTCGGCCTCCAGCGGCCGCGGGGAGCTCAAGACCGGCGGCGCGTTTGCCAGCACCAGCCACCTCGTGGGCGGCGGCGCCGCCGCAGCTGCCAGCAGCGAGATCGCGCCCCACGACGCGGACAGCCCCGCGCCCGACAACATGAGTGACGTCAGCGGGCTCAGCGTCAGCGCGCTCACGGTGTCCAACGGCAGCGCGGAGGGGGGCCTCAATCTGGGGCCCGCCAAGGCCCAGGTGAGGGCCAGGCGGGACGTGCGGGGAACAGCAGGGGGCCTGTTTGGGGGGCAGCAGGCTGGGTTGTGTCCGAAAGCAGCGCGCGGATTGGCGAGCTGGCTCGTGAGTGCCTGAGTGGTGGGGAAATACGCCCAGCGTTGTTAGCAGCCGCGCGATAGGGCAGCCTGGGGCTCCTGCTCCCTGTGCTGGCTCTCCTCGCACCGTCCAATCTGGAGGCCTCATGCACAGGCGTCCAGACCCTCTCTGCTCCCCAACCCCCAACCCCCTGCCCCAGGACTCTGCTGACGCGTGCCTGCTGCCGGAGGACCTGGCCCACCTGACGCGCCGCACCCTGTTCTTGGTGGTTGACGCGGACAACGCACACAGCTTCACGCGGCTGCAGGTGCGCCCTGCACACCTGGGCCCACGAAGGGGGAGGCGGACCGCCGACAGATTTAAGGAGTGGAGGTTGGGGTGTGATGCTGACGAGCTAGTGCAGCAGCAGCTGCTGTATGGCACGCTTTGAGTGCTTCTGCTGCGCGGGCATCAAAGCTTGGCCTGCAGTCTGTGATCGCCGGGCTGTCTTTCACATGACCTCAAAATTGGCTTTGGCCACCCGCCACCCGCCACTGCCCGACCCACAATGCGGCCCGTCGCGCACCTTCACGCGCTGCGCCGTTCTTCCCGCCGCCCTCCTCCACGCCCTCCTCCCCCAAACAAAAGGGTCAGGAGGTGTCTCGCTCTGCGTTCTGCCTCATGAGCCCCTCAGCGCGCCCCCCCGAGCTGGGTGACGTCACCAAGAGCGGCGGCCTGCTGACCCTGTTCCTGTCGGGGCCCCTCTCCGCCTTCTGCCTCGCCGCCGGCAACACAGACCCCTCAGTGCAGCAGCTGGTGGACCTGCAGGTGGGGGGCCAGGGCCGAGGGGGTGTTGTGGGTGGGGGGCTGTGGGA